AAAGAAAAGAGGCTGATTTACTTGGGATACAAAATTAAAGGTGAAGGTAGAAACTGCAACTATATCCTAGTACCTTCTAATTATTTTACCTCTGGCCTCAGAGTAGAAGACTTTCATGGTCTGTACACTCTTTGCTTTAGGGTAGATATGACTGACATTGGAAAAGTGTTAGTGGGTCTTCTTTGACTATGGTATAGTGGTCTTTATCTTTCCGGAGAAGTAGGGTTGAGATGAAATCTACTATTCCTCTACCCTTTTGTAAAATGTGTACTTCTTTGAAACTTGGGAAATTCAACTTGTCTTCTGCCTTCTTACTTTCATCTGTCAACCTCTTTTTATTGTTTTATTCATGAGTTTGCTTTACTCTTTTCTTTTTACACCCACTCTTGTCAATGTACATGACCTATCCAAAACCCTGGCCTCTGAGTTCCTTGACTTCCTCGTTTGCAAAGATCCAGTGTTCTTTACCATTGGCCTTCACTTCCAGTCACACTCTGGACCTGTCATTAACCAAATTGCTTTTTTTTTTAAATCCCCAATTCAGACAACTTATTCTTGAACTATAAATTTCTATCTTTCCAATTATTACTTTAAATACTTCTCTTAACTTCCTCAAGACCTCCAGTTCATTCATTCCCTTTACCTTCTTGCAATCTTTTTGTTTTTAATCCTTCTATTTAGCTTGGAGACTGTGTACTTCATCACAGTGAATTTTTTAACTACCTAATATCCCTTATCTCTTTCTTTTTTTGTTGCACCAGTCTTGTATACAAAATTTAACCCTGAATAAATGCAATTATTTACTTTCTCTGGGCCTATAGATTAGCTGTGAAACACTGCTGAAGGAAATATTAATAACACAGTGGATTAGACATGATTTCTCTAAATACTGCCTGGCAATTCTATTGCACTTCTGAAAAAATTTCAGCCTTTGCCAGCTACTATCTACAGGCCACTCCCTCTGTCCCATTTTTGTCTTCACTCTCATCTAATCACTTGGAATGCTCTAAATACAAGCCATTGGTTGGGACTCCTTCAATTCCCGCCACCATACAAAATATTTATGTCTATACTCATTTTCTCTTCCTTTTTTCCTATTAAAACAGAGATATTGTTCCTCCTAATACTTAAGACTGATTCCTTCACTTCTGTTTTGGATCCCATCTCCTCTTACTTTCTCAAGAACTTTGATTAGTCATTCTTTCTTGTATATTCGACCTCTCTCATTCAGTTGTATCCTTTCTTTTAGTTTTTAAATATGCTCATCCATCTGTCATTTGATGCCACATTCCTCTCCAGTTTTAGGCCTTTCATTAGCCAATTTTAAAAAATTATTTTGTATACAAATTTAATCACATTAGGAAAACAGTCAGTAAATTATTGTCAGGGAATAAAGGCAAAAAAGATTTATAAGTGAGTGGAGAGAAAAATATTACAGATGGTCTTTGAACAACTAAACTAGTTTGCTATTTTAAAAAGCGTTATTCAATTGATAAACTGGTACCAGTGAAAAGGTTAATCTAGGCATTTTTTCTTTCTAAGAGCCAACTAGGGGTATCAAGTAAAACAATTTGAGTTGTTTATGGATTTTCTATTAATATAAAACCTTAAGAGTTTAACCGTGTAACATATGTTACAGGTTCAGAGCCAAATTTATATTAATTTACTATATACTATGTCTTACTTCCCAAGCAGTTCTCAACCTACCCAGACTGAATTCTATCTCCATAATCAAGAAAACATTCTCTCTGTATGGTTCCTCATAATTTGTATGTAGTTAAATTAAACAGACATTTTTCTTTCCCTCAGCCACAGTTACATTATTTATTGCTCCCTGGTTTTTGAAATACTTTTCCTTTGGCTTCTGTGAATTACACTCCCCTGGCTATTGTTTTACCTCTCTGGCTGTCTCCTTTTGAGAGTCACCTCCTTTACCCCACCAGTAAATGTTAAAGTGCCTCAAGATTTTATCCTATGTTGGCTTCATAAAACGTGTTGGGGAGGAATCCATCCTTCTCGATGCTGTGGAATAATTTCTGCAGGATGGGCACCAGTTCTTTTTTGTAGGTGTGGTAAAATTCGGGCATGAAACCGTCTGGTCCGGGACTTTTCTTTTTTGGAATGTTTTTTATTGCTGTTTCAATTTCAGTCCTTGATATTGGTCTGTT